CGGGCCCGAGGCCGGAGCCATGGGCGAGACCAAGATCATCTACCACCTGGACGGGCAGGAGACGCCGTACCTGGTGAAGCTGCCCCTGCCCGCCGAGCGCGTCACCTTGGCGGACTTTAAGGGCGTTCTGCAGCGACCCAGCTATAAGTTCTTCTTCAAGTCTATGGACGACGATTTCGGGTGAGGATGGCCCCCGCCTCGCCTCCGGGGGACCCCGGCCCCTCCGGCTTCTAAGAGGCCACTCGGCCAGTTTGCACTCCCCTTGCTACACGGCTTCTAGCCCTACTCTGGATTCTAGGGGGCCATTCGGCCATTTGGGCTCCCCTTGGTTTTTTTCAGATCCCGGAGTTCCAGCGTCTCTAGGGACTCTCCTTTCCCTCTTGTTGGGACCTTGGCCCCCCTAGTTTAGGAGGACGTCCAACTCCCCAAGAGCAATCAGAGTACCAGCTCAGGAAGCCCCCTCACGCCTCAGACCCGCGGCCCACACAGACAGACACACACCCCCCTCCACCCAGTTCCAGAGCCGGAGTCCCCCCACCCTCCTGCCCAGGGAGCCACCTTTTAAACACAGACATAAGAGTGTTTGGCACTCAGCCTTTGCCTTCTCCATCTTTTCAGCTCCACAACTCCGAGCCATATTTGGAGTACCGTGCATCTCAGNGGTTTTTTTCAGATCCTGGAGTTCCAGCGTCTCTAGGGACTCTCCTTTCCCTCTTGTTGGGACCTTGGCCCCCCTAGTTTAGGAGGACGTCCAACTCCCCAAGAGCAATCAGAGTACCAGCTCAGGAAGCCCCCTCACGCCTCAGACCCGCGGCCCACACAGACAGACACACACCCCCCTCCACCCAGTTCCAGAGCCGGAGTCCCCCCACCCTCCTGCCCAGGGAGCCACCTTTTAAACACAGACATAAGAGTGTTTGGCACTCAGCCTTTGCCTTCTCCATCTTTTCAGCTCCACAACTCCGAGCCATATTTGGAGTACCGTGCATCTCAGGGCTGTGCCGTGGGACTTTGAACTGAGGGGAGGGGGAATATAGGGGTGCTCAGGCGCCAAGCTGTAAGCTAAGGCCTGCAGACCTGATGTTTATTTAGCTGCTCCCCGTTTCCTTATGGGGTGTGTGGGATGTTGTCAAGGGAGCATTGCTCCTGACCCCTAAGGAGGAGTGAACCCTAGCCCAGGTGCTGATTTCCTCTCAGAATTGGAGCCTTTTCCCTCCAGATGGTGGCCTCGGAAAGGGCCTCAGAGCCTGGATAGGGGGTCCAGGAAGAGTCTCTCAGTTTTCTTTTTCCCTCTCTGGCCTGGTCTTCTCCTCCACCCAGCTGTGGGGCTTTGGACAGAGTTTGGAAGCACGGACTTCCCCTTTAAGAAGGGATGGAATGTTGGAGCCGGAAGGTTCTGTAGCAGCTGGCCTGGGAGGGGGAGCCTGGCCATCCCCTCACACACACACACCCCAACTCCTAGGGGATTGGGGGGGAGGAGGCCCCCACACTAACTGGGCGCCGGGCCTGGAGGCCTGGAGGGAAGGCCTTCTCGGCCCTTCAGGCCTAAAGGCAGCCTCTCCAGCCCTAGCCGGAGGCCTGCACTACTCTTGGAGCCAGGGCCCCAGAGCTGAGTGAGGGAAGACATTCTTCTCCCCAGTGTTCATCAGTCTGGCTTTTCTCCCAGGACCCCAGCCCTCCTGGCCCTGGGAAGCAAGCTCCTTCTCCATCCTTTGCCTGGCGTGTTCTGTTGTCACCTTTCCCCCTGGAACTCAGGGTTTGATGAGCCCATGAGCTCCTCTGTGTGAAAGTGCTTTTACAGTGGGAAGCGCTATGCCCCTTCTAACTATACTTGTTTCTGTTGTTACACTTACCCTGGGGTGGGGAACTCCTGGTGTATATTGATTGTCTGGCTTCAGTCCAGAGACAGACCCCCCTGATTGGAAAATTCTGAAGGATGAATCGATTTGCAAGGGGTGGGAGGGAGGGGGCAGATGCCTTGGCCTGGTGAGTTAGGACAGACCAAGATACTGCCTCAGGATATGGGATAGCTGAAGTCCAGTGTACTGGGGCTACCCCCGGGGCCAGGCCTAACTGCAATCATAGGAGGGCCCCCCATTACATCGGCTCACTGTTGACAATATTGTTCTTTAAATTCGCTGTCAGTCCACTAACACTTTCTTAGCTTGACCAAATCAATAATATGAAACCATCCATTTGATTTCCTATTTATATTTCTTTCTAAGATGTATTAAAAATAAATATTAACTCTTGAATTAAGCAATGTTCATTCAGGTAACATGTGAACACATCTTGCACACATCACTGGTACTTGGCCATCCTTTGCAAAATATCAGTGTAGGCCATTTTAACAGGGTTGAGAACAATGCTAAAAATGAAGTGGAGGAGATTGATTTTGTTTTTATCCCCAGAAGAATTAATGAACAGACCTGGTAGGGTCATCACCGAAGACTAATAGCTGAGTAATAGAGGAATATATGTGTGTGTGTATACACATTTATTTAATAAACTCTGGCGCTTACAGTGTAGGCACTGATCTAAGTACTTTTCAAATTTTTACTCATTTAATCCTCATAACAGCCCTATGAAGTAAGTAGTAATATCCCCAGTTTACAGATGAGGAAATTAGAGTACAGAAACCTGAAGTAACTTACCCAAGGTCACACAGTCTGGCTAGTTAGTGGCAGAACTTGATTCAACATCAGGAACTGGCTCCAAATTCTAAGGCCTTAATTACACAATTGTAGGTATTATTATCACCATTTTACAGATGCATCCTCTCTCAGGGAGATGCTGAGCCTTGGCAAACTGTAGAGGTGATAGGGCTGCCACTTATCCTAGCCCCATGAGAGGAGGGTCAAGCAGAGACCAGTGACCCCTACTGACAGATGAGAAAGTGAGTCAGAAGAGGAAGGCTGTTGTTTCTCCATTCTCTCCAGGCTCAACCTCTGAGGTACTGGTTTGTGAGGTCTCCAGAAGTATTTGTTAAGCTCAGGGTAGGCCCAGTCCTCTTAAATTATTTGGGAAATGGAGGAAGAATAAACATTTTTAGCACTGAGGAGACAGTGGATAGAAGAACAAGGTACGCATTGCTAGAGTGGCCCCGAACTGTGGGAGGGGGCAACATGAGAAGTGAAGTCACTATGTTGCTCCCTGCTCCATGTCACACAGTGTCCTGCCTCTGGGCCTTCTACCTGGAGCACACTTTTTTTTTTTTAAATCCTTACCCAAGGATTTTTTTCCCGTTGCTTTTCAGAGAGAGTGGAAGGGAGGGGGAGAGAGAAACATCAATATGAGAGAGACACATTGATTGGTTGCCTTCTGCACTCACCCCTACCGGGGCTGGGGATCAAGCCTACAACTGAGGTTTGTGCCTTTGGCTGGAATCGAACCCAGGACCCTTCAGCCTGCAGGCTGACGCTCTAACCATTGAGCAACTGTCTAGGGCTAGAGTTCACTTCTTATCCTATCCTCTCCATGTCCAAATTCTCTTATCCTCTGGGTTGAACTTTTAAAATTATGGTACTTCATCCTATTTATCCATACACCTACCTTGCTCCTATACAGGACCTGACATCTGTCACACTCAGCAGATGTCTGTCCATTGAACACCTCTGCTGGTCTTACCACTCTGACCACTTCCCACGTGTAATATGCTTATGTGAACTGTCTACTGGACTGTAACCTCTGAGAATAAGGCAGGTTCTAGGTCTGATGCTTCTTGAAGTTCATACAATGGCAAGCACGGGACTTAAAACTCACTGGGCTGTCTCTGAGCAAAGGCTTTTTAATTGCATGAACAATGAATGATGGGCAGATGTGTTTGGTCCTTGCCCTTACAAACTTACACCTAGTTAGAAAGAGAGTATGGATCCGGCTAAAAATTGACAAAGTTAGAAACTAACTTTTATGGTATGCCTGGACTGTGCCAGGCATTTACGAATCCCTTTACCAGGATGAGACAAAGGCTTAGAGAAGTTAAGAAACTTCTCTAAGATGGGAGGGCTAATAAGTAGCAGAATTGGAATTTGAACCCAAATTTGTCTGACTCCACTGGGGGTGTGAGAGTGGTGTGTGTGTGTGCACGCGCGCGCGCAATGGAACCCTGAGCCATTTAGCTCCACTGTTGGGGGGGGGTCTGAGGTCCCCCAAGGCTGCTGAAGATCAGCTGATCGTTATGAGTCAACAGAGCCTTGGCGACCTGTCAGTGACCCTCAGAAAGAAAGGAAACATCTGTAGCTGGGGCTGTGTGGTGAGGCCTGGGGGAGGGGTTGTGGGGACTTGGCAGCAGTTTCCCACCACAGGGAGACCCTCTCTAAAGCAGGTCACAGAGCCCCTGCCATGTGACCCACATACCCTCTTTTCCTTTGAGCCCCAGTTCCCAGAGGGGGGCTGTAAGTTTAGGGTACTCTGTGGCTGGACTGGCTGATAGGTCTAAGCTACCTCTCTCTCTGTCCCTTCTTTCCAGCCTGTTCTGTCTCCAGGCTTTCTGCCATGATGGCCCTGAGCAGGATGATTTGAGCTGCTTTCTTGGGGTCGTTGTGGGGTTGGAAATGGTGGAGAAGCCAGAGCTGGATGGGAGGGAGGAGGGTAGGCTCAGCCTTCGAACTTGGCTGTGAGTCCAAGAATGTGAGCATCACAAGGAGCCAAGCACGTTCCCAGTTCTGGGCAGAAGCTCTTCAAGAACAGGGAGAACTAGGCTTCCCAGCCTCCTTCCTTGCTGTCCTTCCCTCTCTGCTCACAACTCCAGGCATGTGTCTTCCTCTTGCCCCTAATCACATCTTTCCAGCTCTGTACTCCTGGGTGTTTGATGCAGTCTGGGGGTCCTGAAACTATTCCAGTTTCTTTTCCTGGCCCCAAACTGTAGCCATGGTCTGACTTCTTGCCTCACTGCATGCCTGTCACTACATCCCACCCCCCATGGCTTACATCACTGCTTCTCCTACCTCACCCTCCACACAGACCCACATCACCTCTGTAATTATATAGGAAAGAATGCGAAATACCGTGGAAAGAGTGGGTTTTAGAGTCAGACAAGCTCAGGTTGAATTCCAACTCTTACATCTTCTAGTTCTATGACCTTGGACAAATTACTGAATGTTTCTCGGTTCCTTATTCATAAAATGGGGGTCATATTGTCTACGCAGTGAGGCTGATGTGAAGATTATATATTATAACTGTAGGGAGATAAGATGGTATTATTGGTGGGAATAAAGGCTTTGATGAGGGTTAAAATTTCAGCACTTCACTTATTAGTGGTGTGACTATAGGTGAATTTCTGAACCTACTGAGCCTCAGTTTCCCCATCTGTATCTGTCTTATAGCATTGCTGTATTAAACAAAGTGATACAACTAAAGTGTTCGTTTAGTGCTTGGCCCATAATACATGCTCAATAAATGAGAGCAATTGTTACTATTATACTGGCAATGGAGGATGTTCAGTAAATGCCTTCTCCCCTTTTCTTTCCTACTTTACTTAAATTCCTCCTCCACACCTCCCAGAAGAATGTCAGGTTTCCCAATTGAGAAGGGAAGGACAGTAATCAGGGTGTGCTTTTTCCTAGTTTAGGGTCAGAGGGAAAGAAAAAGTCCAGACCATGAGAGCCTTATTGGGGATGGGTAAAGCACTCTTGAGATTCTAGAGAGTGGCTGCACTCATGGGGGACGGTGATTTGTCAGATATAATTTGCAATGACCTAGTGACTGAGAGGACACCCCAGGAAGGCAGCTGGGTCACTCCTACCCATGCTGTCATTTGAACAGGCTCATGCTGGTGGTTTGATTTTGTTAAGGGTGGAGGAACCCTGAGAGTTGGGATTCTGAGGACACCTCCATTTCTACCCGAGAAAGCTCACTGACACCCCTTCTTTCCCTACAGAGTGGTGAAGGAGGAGATCTCGGATGACAATGCCAAGCTGCCCTGCTTCAATGGCAGGGTGGTGTCCTGGGTAAGGATCCTTCCTCAGCCCTCCCTCTGCCCATGTTCCTGCCATGGACTGTACGGAGGAAGGGCATCACTAAGGTTATAGCTGGTAGTTTTATGCTTCACTATCTGAATCATCCTTGAGTTTCTAATTGAACAGTTTTTACCCCAGATTCTATAGCCTTGGTGAAAACTGGGGGAGTAGTGTGAAAAGGTAAAGGCAGATACAGAAACATGCATTGGAGACAAAATTGTCTCCTATGCCCTTTGAGGCACTTTGCCTCAGGTTTCCTTCTGTCACCTGCTGAACTCTGCCTTGGACCCTTACTCTCTGCTTCCATCCCACTTTACCAACCCATGCTTCCCTGACACCCTTTCAGCCTAGCAGTGGTCTGCTCCTCATGTGAGCTGTTCTTGCATAGTCCTGTGTCTTGTCCCTCCATGTCCCCTGCTTCATTCTCCCCAAGTCTTCATGCCCTGCCAGAAGCCAACTATTCTACTTTTCTCTGGCACCCTGGTATCATACTACCTACCCATTTTCTCCCCATCAGCTGGTGTCAGCTGAGGGCTCACACCCAGAGCCAGCTCCCTTCTGTGCTGATAACCCATCGGAGCTGCCGCCACCCATGGAGCGCACAGGAGGCATTGGGGACTCCCGGCCCCCTTCTTTCCAGTGAGTGTGACCTGAAGATAGGCAGGGCCTATGGGGGAGAGCCACGTCAGTTCAGCCCAGGGCTGGGGGAGGGAGCCCCCAGCCTGCCCCCTCCCCCACCAAGTCCTGTCTTCCCTGCAGCCCTCATGCTGGTGGGGGCAGCCAGGAGAACCTGGACAATGACACAGAGACGGACTCATTGGTATCTGCCCAGCGGGAGCGGCCTCGCAGGAGGGACGGCCCAGAGCACAGTGCGTCTTCCCTGAACAGATGCCTTCCTCATCCCTGTGCCCTCCCCACAGCTTCCACTCAGCTGCCCCCTTCTTTGTCCAACTTTCTGACTTCTGGATAGGACTGGCCCCAGTGCAGCCCATAGCCTGCGCCTTTCTCCTTCCTTCCCTCCTACAATGGGCACTGTGAACCCAGCTGCCTCCATCCCCTGCAGCAACCCGGCTAAATGGAACTGCAAAAGGGGAGCGGCGGCGAGAGCCAGGGGGTTATGACAGCTCGTCTACCCTCATGAGCAGCGAGTTGGAGACCACCAGCTTCTTTGATTCGGAGGAGGATGACTCTACCAGCAGGTAGCGCTTTGGTTTCATGAGTACTGTAGGGCAGGTGACCCCTGAGGAGCCCTGAACCCTGAGGATACTGGGCCCCTGGGAGGGATGTGGGCTTTGTGCTGGGGACCTGGGCCCTGCAGTGCCTCTTATGGGGCAGGGCTAGGCCAGCCTGGTGGGGAACGACTGTGGGCCCCACAGGTTCAGCAGCTCCACAGAGCAGAGCAGTGCCTCACGCCTAATGAGAAGACACAAGCGGCGGCGGCGGAAGCAGAAGGTTTCCCGGATCGAGCGGGTATGGGACCTGGGATGCTAGGGATGAGTGGGGCACGACTTATGCTTCCTTAGATCCCCTTCCCTTGGGTCAGTGTTTAGAACCTTAGAGGGGAGGTGGTGCTGAGGGCTCACCTTGAAGAGGAACTAGGTGGGAGCAATGAGATCCTGCCACCCCTGCCTGCTGCTCAGAGCCTCTGTCTGTTCCAGTCCTCATCCTTCAGCAGCATCACGGACTCTACCATGTCACTCAACATCATCACGGTCACTCTCAACATGGGTGAGTCTGGTGAAACAACACTCTTGAGTGCCTGCTGTATGCCAGACACTGGGTAGACTCAAGGAGTTTAAAGAGGCACAAGATATGTTCCCTGCCCTCAAGGAGCTCTCTTTCATAAACCTAAACTGATTATTTCAGTATCTCATGATCAGGGCTATGACAGAGAGAATCATACAGAGCTATGGAAGCAGAGAAAAGCATCAGGGAAGGCTTCCTAGAGGAAATGATTTCTGATTCCTTCCCCTCTCCCATTTTTCAGCCATTGCATTCTTGTTCTCTGATTTCTGCCCTAGGTACTCTCTTTAGGAGATAGCTGGGTATAGTGAAAAAAGCCCCAACTTTGTCTGGAATTTAAATCTAAGTATGAATATTGGTTTTTGCCACTTAATGGCATAGAAAAGTTTCTTAAATTCTCTGAACCTCAGTTGCCTACTCTGTAAAATGGGAGAGTCCCTGCCTCACATCCAGCAAGAATTAAATGAAAGCCTATTTGAGCCTGCTGAACACAGCGCCTGATTCCAGTTAAATAAATATTCGTTCTCGTCCCTTCCACTCTTTCTAATGAGGGGCTCAGAATGTGGGTAAGAACCTTGCTTGCCTCTCAAGGTCTTATTACTCCCTGTAGAAAAGTATAACTTCTTGGGCATCTCCATTGTGGGCCAAAGCAACGAGCGTGGTGACGGAGGCATCTACATTGGCTCTATCATGAAGGGTGGGGCTGTGGCTGCTGATGGACGTATCGAGCCAGGAGATATGCTGTTACAGGTACCATTGTTCACTGTGGCTGGTGGTGTGGATAGGGAGTTGGGTAGATGTATCCTCTGTACCCTCTCATTCTTCCTACCCTCTAACCCTATTCGGAGGCCCCTTCGTGGTGGGGGAAGACCCCCTGATCCACCAAGCTTCCTTAACCCCTTCTCCAGCACAGCTGCTTATCACACTCCTGGTCTTCTTTCCCAGGTAAACGAGATCAACTTTGAGAACATGAGTAATGACGATGCTGTCCGGGTACTGCGGGAGATTGTGCACAAACCAGGGTATGGATGGGATGGGGCATTGCCGAGGAGGTGGCAGGCATTTCTGGCTATCAGGCAAGGGGCTTGGTCTAGCCTCCACACATCCTGCCCTCACTAGGGACACTCTTGCTTTCAGGCCCATCACCCTGACTGTCGCCAAGTGCTGGGACCCAAGTCCACGTGGTTGCTTCACACTGCCCAGGAGTAAGTGGATGGGGGGCTCAGCCCTAAAGCTGGTGCCTGGCATACATGAGCCCTGTCTCTCCTGTCTTCTGTGTTGCCCTGAACCCTCACACCGACCCTGTTGGGCCTGGCACTGGGCAGGTTGGGCAGCCCCTAACTCCTCATCCTCCTTGCAGGTGAACCCATCCGGCCCATTGACCCTGCGGCCTGGGTCTCCCACACTGCAGCCATGACTGGCACCTTCCCTGCCTATGGCATGAGCCCCTCCCTGAGTACCATCACCTCCACCAGCTCCTCCATCACCAGCTCCATCCCTGACACAGAGCGTGAGTGTCCAACCCTGTCCCCTAGGCCCAGCAGACAGGGCCAGGTGAGAGAGACTGATGAAGGCGCATGTGGAGACTCTTGCTTGAAAGTTAGAGGGGCTGGAGAGGGGGCTCAGCTCATTCCAGCTACCTCACACTGCACCTTCCCTCAGGGGACACCTGACTCTCACTAAACAGTGTTCGCTTCTGAACCAGTATTGAGCACCCAGTGAGCCTCAGTTTCCTCTTATAAAATGGGACTAATACTGTGCACTTTACCAGGTTCCTGGGGGTTAATGGGAGGATATAAGTGAAGCATTGATCACAGTGTGTGGTGTAAAGTAAGCACACAATAATGACTGCCATTTTTATTATCATAACACACATTATGCACTATGCTAAGTACCTTCACGTATTCAATTCTCTTCAAACATCCTTATGAAATAGATGTTAAAGTCTCTATTTTCACAGAAGGGGAAACTGAGTGTCCAAGAAGTCAGTAACTTGCCCAACACCGGTCCATATTTATTAGGTAGTAGAGCTGGAATGCAAACTCCTGTCTACCTAACTCCACAGTCACTTTCTTTCTGCCTCACCATTTTGCCTCCCACCCCTAGGCCTAGACGACTTCCACCTGTCCATTCACAGTGACATGGCTGCCATTGTGAAAGCCATGGCCTCCCCTGAATCTGGGCTGGAGGTCCGAGACCGCATGTGGCTCAAGATCACTATCCCCAACGCTTTCATTGGTGAGAGGGCCCCATGGAGGGATGAAGGATAGGGTGGTGGGCAGTGAGGGAGCAGGACAGGCTGGGGGCCCAAGAACTCCCTTGAGCTGGAACCAGGCCCAGCCTCATGGCTTCAGTGAAGCCGATAAGCCCAAGCCAGGTGGGCCTCCCAATCAAAGGTAGCCTTGCCTCCAGGCTCAGATGTCGTGGACTGGCTGTACCATAACGTGGAAGGCTTCACCGACCGGCGAGAGGCCCGCAAGTATGCCAGCAACCTGCTGAAAGCCGGCTTCATCCGCCACACGGTCAACAAGATCACCTTCTCCGAGCAGTGCTACTACATCTTCGGTGACCTCTGTGGCAGTACGTGACTCCCCACCTCTTTGTCCTGTCTCCTGGCTGGGAATGGGGCAGTGCCCAGGGATGTGGCAGCAGACTCCAGGGAACCCAGAGGAGGGGGCATCAGAGCTGGGATCCCAGCTTGAGGCCTGAGAGTTTTGTGGTGGAAGTAGAACCCAGTTCAGCCCCTTCACCTGCTGTATATCTCCTGGAGGGGCTGGCATTTCCTAAGTGCCTGTTCTGTGCCTGCCACCATGCTGATTGTTTCTAGAGCATCATCTCACTCGATCACTCAGTCCTTACAACCTCCTCCCCACCGTTGGGGAGATGGATTACTATCCCTGCTATCAGATGAGGAAATTGAGATATGTAGAAGTTAAATAGCCTACCCCAGGTCTCACAGCTAGAAGCAGAGAAGTTAGGCCACGGGTCCAGGTCTTTTGGGCTCCAGAGCCTTTGTTCTTCCCACCATCCGGGATTGACCAGGTGTGTAGAGTTGCAGAAACATTGTCTCAGCAAGGCCAGAGTTTCTATTCATGGCCCCTACTTAGCCTCCCAGCATTAAACAGGTTCCACCAGGGCAGGACCTAGAACTTGCCTGAGTCCCCAAGTCCACAGCTTCCTCAGACCCCCAAAGGAGATGGAGCTGGAGAAGCTATCATAGCCATGTTGTAGAGGATTCTGTAAGCTATACCAAAGAGTTGGACTTGGTCCTGAAAAAGTACAAAGCCAATTAGAGTTATTAAGCAGGAGAGGTCTGCATGGAACCCTCCCTCCTTCTCCTTCTGAAGCTAAGGACAGCCCTTTGGAAGAGGAATCTTCAAAACAGGACAGCATCACTCCAGGCTAGGAACTGAAACCCTCCCTCAGCAGCTACCTCTACCTGAGGGAACCTTCTGTCAGCCCAGTGGTGCTTGCTGGAGTCCAAAAACTAACTCTTAAAATGCTTCAGATTAGGTTCTAGGAACTAGAAAGGCTACTTCTGCAGAGCACAAGTCCCGGTGAAGGGTAAGTCCCTGACCCTTAGCTGCTCCAGTGTGGCCCCATGGAGTAGTGATAGATGCACAGGGTTTTGGAGTTAGACAGTTCTGGGTCCAAATCCTAGCTTCACCCTTACTGTGTGAACATGAGTAAGTGGCATAGCCTCTCAATGCTGCAATTTGTTGATCTGTAAGGTGGAGGTAATAGAATCTATCTCATAGAGCTGTTTTGAGGACAACATATATTGTATATAATGCTTTTAGCACCATGTTTAGCCCACAGTAAATACTCTAAAAAAAGCTGTCCATTATTCATATATTTGAGTCTAAGATGAACACTTTTTTCACATTTCAATATCTGAAATTGGAGTACGTCTTACAATCAGTAGCTTCTTAGACTCAATCAAACGTGGTTATTGTCATCCTTAGGAGAAGTCAGCCCTGGCCCCAAATTTCCAGGGCCACATAAAGCTTTTCAGAAGATCTGTAGCTTTTGCTCAAGAGATATAGTTCCATCCCTGGGACCTCCTGGATCTTCTACCCATGGACCAAGGCCACCAGAGGCCCAGCTCAGGGAGATAAAGACACAGACATAACAGGCCTGTTCCTTCTCAGTAGCTGAGGTTTCCTAAGCTGGAGTGTGGCAGGCTCCAAGGGAAGAGCCAAGGACCTGGGTAGCCCCAGGAGCACACAGTCAATCCCCTTGGGATGTCAGCCTGGAGGTTGAAATAGTCACCAGCTCCTTGAGCATGAGCCAAGGCAGGCCCCTGCTTACCACCACTACCCCTCCCCCCATGTTAGCTACTGGCCTTAACAAGTTCATGGCTTGGCTGGCAGACTTCACTGGCTGCTTCAGCCCCCTCTGGGCCCCTTCTGCTTATCTCTTCTCCCCTGGAAGGTTGGGCTGGCTTACTTAAGGGCTTGGAACAAAGGGCTCAGTCTGTATGTGGGAGCTGACCTCTAGGGCAGTTATAGCTCTCTCAGAGCTCTGGGACCTGGTGCAGATGGGGTGTGAGCAAGGGGTATCTGAGGCAGGTCATTAGTTCTAGTGGCCCCTTATACTCCCTTCCAGGTAGTTCCATCATTGGTTGGGACATCCTTGCCCCTAACAGGTACACAATTTACTGGGGGAGCCAGTCATGAAAGAAGTGTTAATACAGTGAGACAAGTGCTGTGAAGAACCAGGCCTCACTGGAAATGAGGTGGAGAGCACAGAGGAGGCACCTAGGTTGTTTTCTTTTCTATGCCCTTCCCACCCCACTCCCACCCTTCCCAGCAGAACCAGAAAATTGATTCAGGCCAATGATCTATATGGGGAGACTCTGAAAGGCCCTATGTTCATTCTGGCTTTTAATGGGTATTTTTTTAGTGTTAGGTGAGAGGGGAGGGCACAATTTCACCTAAATTTCCCCAAACTGCTCCCTACTCCTTACTAATAACCTTATCTGGAAATGTAAAAAAGTAAGCAACTTTTAGTTTCTGTTCTGGCTACAGTTTAGGTTGACCTCAGACTGGTCATTTAACCTCTCTGGACTGCACTTACCTCATCTGGAAAAAATGTGCCTAACACCTACTTCATAGGGTTGTGGTAGTATTTGTATGAGATGAAGTATTTTGTATTGTGCCTAATGAATTGCAGGTATGCAGTACCTGGTGGTGGTCTGAGATTTCAGCTGCCCACATTCCTCTCTACCTTTTACCCTCTAAGTCAGCGATTTTCAACCTTTTTATTTCATGGCACACATAAACTAATTGCTAAAATTCTGTGGCACACCAAAAAATATATTTTTTGCTGGTCTGACAAAAAAATAGGTATAATTTTGATTCATTCACACTGGGCAGCTATTGTGTCAGCTGATGTCATTTTTTTATGTGACAGTCTAAGGGAAAAGAAATCATTGTCCCTAACTAGTCAGGTACTGCGTGTTTTAAAAATTCTTGTGGCACACTGGTTGAAAATTGCTGCTCTAAGTGAACAGAATGAGTTTTGCCTCTTCCGGTACACTGAGGAAAGAGGAGAAACTGCCAAAGGCTTGGTAGGAGCTCTCCACGGGACTGGGAGTTGGGTATCAGGATTTGGCATTGAGGCTAAGAAGTGGTGACTCAGGGCCTCCCTGAAAAGGGTTTCCCTGGGGCTGTGTCTGCAGGGTTTCCTTCTCTGCCGTCTGTGCTGGATGGTGGATGGAGTCTAAAGAAGGAATGAGAGATCTCTGACCTATGCTTCCTCCCACAATGGCGGGAAACTGCTGCTGTTGTTTCCATCTCATATGCACCCAACCCAACCTAGGCTGGGACCTTTATCCTGACATAGGGGTGCAAAGGTATGGGAGAGCCCCAACATCCGGCCCTCTCCCCTCTTCCACAGACATGGCCAACCTGTCCCTCCACGATCACGATGGCTCCAGCGGTGCCTCTGACCAGGACACACTGGCTCCTTTGCCGCACCCGGGGGCCGCCCCTTGGCCCATGGCCTTCCCTTACCAGTATCCGCCGCCCCCGCACCCCTACAACCCGCACCCAGGCTTCCCAGAGCTGGGGTACAGCTACGGCGGGGGCAGCGCCAGCAGTCAGCACAGTGAAGGTAAGGTGGAGGGGGGACCACAGGTGAGCCCCAGGCTTCCTCCACAAGCTCTTGCGCGTCCACCACCCATCCCTGCCTGTGCCTGTCCCCTACAGGCAGCCGGAGCAGTGGCTCCAACCGTAGTGGCAGCGACCGGCGGAAGGAGAAGGACCCGAAGGCTGGGGACTCCAAGTCAGGCGGCAGCGGCAGCGAGTCAGACCACACGACGCGCAGCAGCTTGCGGGGGCCGCGGGAGCGGGCGCCCAGCGAGCGCTCAGGGCCGGCCGCCAGCGAGCACAGCCACCGCAGCCACCACTCGCTGGCCAGCAGCCTGCGCAGCCATCACACGCATCCGAGCTACGGCCCCCCTGGTGTGCCCCCTCTCTACGGGCCCCCCATGCTGATGATGCCCCCACCGCCCACAGCCATGGGACCCCCAGGAGCCCCTCCAGGCCGTGACCTGGCCTCGGTGCCCCCTGAACTGACTGCCAGCAGACAGTCCTTCCGCATGGCCATGGGAAACCCCAGTGAGTTCTTTGTGGATGTGATGTGAGCAGGGCCCCTCCCCCATTTCCATCCCACCCCTAACCTGGCTGGCTGCTCCCACTCTCCATCTGTCCAGTCTTTTTTACTTTGTCTGGTACCTGAAAGGGAAATAAATGGAACTAAATCCAGGCGTGCTAACTGCTCCCTGGACTCAGCGAGGGCGGGGTCAACCCACCCATCGCTATTACAGTCCTAATCTGCCACCAGCCCCAGCTTGTCCCTCTCTCTGCCCACTAACCGCTGCACAGGACGTCCCAGGATCCTTTATGTCCCTGGGACCCGATTTGCTGGTGCTGCTCCTTACTCCCTTCACCTGTGCATACACTTCAGGAATTGACCCCAGCTGCCCTTGAGGGCTGCTCAGCCCCTCATCCCCACCTTTCCCCCACCTCAATTCCCTTTCACCATTCATTCAGCTACACCATCTCACTATTAACCTCACCCCCACAAGCATGTGTGCCAATCTCTGAACCCCCCCACAATACTGACACCAAAAAAGTACTTGCTTCATCTGCCCCTCCTAATTGTTCCTTGGCTGCCGCTTGCACCCTAGAGTTGTGGGTCACGTTTAGGAACTATCCATGCTATCCCTGCCTGCGCTGGGTCCTTAGAAGCCCAGTGGGGGCCTTAGTTGTCTGATCTGCTAGTGGCTTCCAGGAAACATCTCTGCTCTACCCCCCAAAACTCCTTGCCTGTAATTGTGTGCTTGTTCCTTCAGACCTCTAACCCTACTAACCAGCAGGCTCCTCTCACCTCTGGGCCTGAAACATTTCTTTTCTTTCTTTTTTCCTCCCCCAATTTTTCCTGGGCCTGGAGCAGCCAAGAATTTCGGGCTGTTTGACTTTCTGTGAGCCCCCAGCGAGGGGAGGCCCAGCCTCCGAGGAGACCAGGAACCCTGCTTCAGCAGCCCCTCAGGGCTTCCCAAGGATATTCAGCCCCCACACCCACACTTCAACATGTTAAGTCACTAGGTTTCTGGGGAGGGCTCTAGCCCCTTACCCATATATGAGACTCTGTCCGCCTTTGCAGAGAGTGTGTGTTCTCTCTCCCTCTCTCTCTCTCCCCTTCTCTTTCACACACATGCATACACACACACAGGTGCCTATGCAAGTCCACTTAAGCCTCAGGGCTGGTCCCTGCCCAGAGGGCTGGCCCCTCTCTCCCAATCTTCTCCCAGGTTGTGGGGCTGGATCCCTGACTTACCTCTATCCTTCCTCCCATTCCTTATAGCCCTCGAGCCTCCCCCACATGTCCCCATCATCTTCCTACCTGGATAAAGCCAGTAAGTGGGGCCCAGACAATTGACAGGCTCTTCTCACCCTGCATGCTGCCTCACACACTTTTTCCTGTTTTCACATCACCATGATAACCCAGAGCAGGGGGACTTCTGGGAGTGCCAGGTTTTTATTTTTAACCTATTTTCTAGTTTAAGCAAATTATGAATTTCTCTTTAAGCCTCTTTGATGAATTCTCTTGGCTCAATTAGGCTCCCATATTTTCAGAACTGGGGTGTCAAGAGTGAGATGAAGTACTTAATTCCAGGCTTTGGGGCAAACCAGGGTAGAGGCATTTGGCATTTATTTAACAAATACTTCCAGAGGTTTTTGGTTAGTGAAGGCTATGTTGGAAGTTTGACTCAGTCTTGCCTGCCTCTGGCATCTCTGGCTTGCTCCCAACCCAGACCATGGCTTCCTCTAGCCACCTTGGAGGAGGGCTGCCTCCTATACTTCTCTTCCTTCTCTGACTCTGCCATGTCCCACTTTCTTGACAATTCTTCCATTATTGCTCATGCCTTCAGTGTTGGTGCTCCCAGTGTTCTGTCTTCAGTCCTCTTTCTATTTACTCCCCAAATGGTATCTTCCATTTGGATGTCCTTAGCTGCCTTTGATATGCTGGTGATTCTCAAATATATATTTCCATCCCCAACTTCCCTCTGATCTTTAGATCTGTGTTTTTATCACCAACTGGACATCTTCATGGACATGTCCATATGGACTCAATTCATTTCCCCCACTTTCTGAATTCCAGTCTTAGTTACCTTCACAATCTACATAGGTTCACCAGCTAGAAACATGTATGGGCTTAAGTCCCTTCTCATATTCAGCAGATCATATCCATTCTACTCCAACAGTCTTTCTTGAATGTGGCCCTTCTCCCCTCTGCCTCTACTCTAGTTCACAGGAGCATGGGATTTGGAGTCAGGTTGTTCTGGATTTGAATCCCAGCTCTACTACTTTTTGGTTGTGTGATAGGAGAGTTACTTAATCTCTCTGAGCCTCAGTTCCCTCATACGTAAAATGACGATAATAATACCTACCTCACAGGGTTGTTGTGAGGATTTAAATTAGATATTGTACGAAAAGTGCCTAGCACAGTGCCTGGCACACAGTAGAATAGGTGCTCAATAAATGGTAGCTATTATTATTATTATTATTATTATTATTATTATTATTATTATTGTTTGCTCTAAATTGGTAAGGATTTAGGGTATTTATTGAAGATACATCTTCAGGAAAAGTAGGAGCGAAGTCTTGGGTGCTGGTTCAAGGATCAGAAGTGCCTGTATTTGGTCACTTAATGGCTTTAGGCTATGACCACAGTGTGAATGAAGGAGGCTAAATCTTCATCCTGCCACACCTTGGCTTCTAACAAGAGGATGCTAGGGTTAGTAAGGCTTCCAACCAGCTTTGCCCTTTCTTGCCCTTCCTTCCTCCCATGACAGGCTCAGCCCTAACTAGAGAAGGTATCAGGGTATCTCTCCATATAGAAAGAGAAGAGCCAACAAATTTTCTTCAGGTCCTGCAAGAGCCAGTCAGGCCTTTCATGTTCAAGGCTTGGCTGTCTTCTCTTTGTTCAGAGAGGGGATTTCAAATCCCATGTCCAATTAAATTCAACTCACCAATGGTTTTCTAAGCAACATATCTGCCTGTCACTAGAAGGCACACAGGAGCTAATAGTAACATAGGTGTAGGTGAAGTAGAACATTGGACATATTCTTGAAAAGCTGTAGCTAGTTTCTTCCAAGTATATGCCACCTCACTCCCTGTTCCCTTCCTTGGGTCTTGATCCCAGGGGAAAGGCTCATCTGGTACAAAAATAAGGTGAAAAAGTAAAATTTGGGAGAATCAGAGGTGCTGTTAGCAGTAAATTCAGCAGAAACACTTCTGCCAAGTTGTGTGTTGTGTGGAAAGTGAGGACAGCCAGTCCTCGGACTCTGGAGACACTTAAGACCTACAGCGATCCAAGGCTTAACAAATGGACTTCTAATGGTAGTAATCCTCTGAGGCTCTTCGAAACACTGAAACAGGAACCGGAGGGACTACAAAGACTACAATTCCCAGAATGCTCAGGGGAGGAAATGAAGTGAGCCGAAAGGGGTAGGCTGGGATATGTATTTCGGGTAGGGCTGGATAAGGCCACTCCCATTTCCCCGCCCCCCAAGGAACGCCTACTCTCTCCCCGAGGTTCTCGAAGGCAGTCGGTAGTTGTAGTTTTGCTAAAGCTTAAAATTGTAAGCGAGAAGGCCAGGGGCCTGACGGGACTTGTAGTCTGTGGGTGAGATGAACGCGCAGGCGCAGCTGAGGCCTGGGCGGGGCAGCGGCACTGCGGTGAAAGCCGAGGCAGCGGGCTGGCGAGCAGGGGGCGGGCGGACATCTTGGGATCCGGAGAGTGGCCGGACCGGCGGGGCAGGGGGCCGCGGACGCCAGGTGAGCTCGGGATCTGGTCTTACGGGGTGAAGGAGGACGCCTGCTCAACTCTAGCTTTGCTCTTCCTGCACTGCGTACGCGGAAAGCTGCCCACACCCGGGAGTGGCCTCAGCCTTCGATCCCAGAGGGAGCCGACGGCGGGTGGTGACGCCCCGGGCGCGGTTGCAGAACGGGCGGGGAGCGGCGCCCTCCACCTGACCCGCCCAGCGCCTTCTTTGAGAGGGAGACCTACTAGAATCCTTCAAAGCAGGGACGCCGCGGGGCGCCCCCCTCCCTGGGATGGTGACAGCAGCCCTACCCCTCGGCTCCTCGCCTCAGTGCAAGGACAATTTCCCCATCTCCTAGGACAGTGACACCCCCTTGTTTCGCCTCCTTGGACTGTGACAAGCCTCCCACCCCCTCCGCCCATTTGATTGACACCCGGAGGCTCTTATTCCTCAGGCCCGTGACAGCCCGGCACTCCCTAGCACCATCTTTCCGCGACGTCTTCTTCCCCAGGGCAAAAGCCACCATCTCCTCAAGCTTCTACACCTGAACCTCAAAGCAGGCTCCGTCCCCCCAGCGTCCCTTATTCACCACTGCCAGGCTCCCCCTGCTGTTTTTCCCTTCAAAGCCCTGACCTTTGCCATACTGAAATTCTTTCCCTCAGGTGTCCCCACCAGCAAGCCCCCTTGCTGCTGTGGGCTCTCCTGAGTATACTGCCTGGCTGTTGCTGTCAGTTTTTTCCCTTAAGTAATATTCCATTCCTGTCTGGTGCCCGAGTTCCCTAAGACTTGATACCTGTGGACTTGGTTCTTTGCCCAGGGCTCTACCTCCATTTTGCCTTTCCCTTCCCAGCCTCTTCGGAACTGAAGGGTGGGATGTGTCCACCACCTTCAGAGACCTCTAAATGAGCCTGGGAGACCCTGATGGCCACATTAATAGGCTTTATTTTACAGTTTAGAAAAGTCTGCCTGTGAAATTAATACCGGGGCTAATCCGGGAGATCTAGAACTAAATTAACCCTTTTTGCCCTTGCAAACAGTATATGTTAGTTTGACCCAAATAATTTGGATAATTCAGGCATCCTGCCCCTCACTTATAGGCACTCAGGCCAGAAGTGTTGTGGGTCTGGAATCAGAATTTCCCCTGGAAGGATCTCTTAATTTTATGTACCTGCACCCTACCTCCCCCCATCACCACCAACAACCCTTACTTTTATTGTATTTGGGAGCTGACAGGGAGCCTCCCTTTTTGAAAGAGGGGTGATCGTTAAAAATAACTAACTACTAAGCAGCTTGGGTCATTTAAATGTAGTCTGCTAGGGCTGGGGCCTTTCCACTCTGCTCTTTTGCCTGCTTATCTGACTGCCTGGGAGAGGTTGGAGCCACACTTAGGGGTCCAGTCAGGGCCTAAGGCCTCCCTTCCTTTCTCTGCCCACC